CAACGTCCTCCACAACTAGACTGAAGAACAAAACGACAGCAACTTGTCTGTTCCCCTTCCCCCAATTCCCCAATTAAAAAAAAATCTTTAAAAAAAAAAGGATGAATTTTATGGTATGCAAATTTAACTCAATAAAGCCATTTTTTGAAAAAGCATACTTGTAATTGCCTATGAATTCCAGCTGTGCTACTTAATAGCTGTGGAATCATGGGCATATTATCTACTCTCTAGGACTCGTTTTCTCACCTGTAAAATGATAATAATAGTATATACCTCATCAGATTGTTGTAAGGATTAAATAAAGTTAATACTTAAGTCAGTGCCAATGTTTAACTATTATTCTTAGTAATATTATTTCCTGTGATGTTTCTACTTCCAAAAGTTTCTGATGATGAAGCATATTATATTCCATTATCAATGAATTCTATATTTTTGAGGTAATTCACATACCAGAAGATCCAGCCTTTTAAACTGTACAGTTCACTGGTTTTTAGTATATTCACAAAGTTATGCAACTGTCACCACCAATTCCACACTTTTATCACCTCAATGGATTTTCTGAAGTGGCAGGTACAACTGTTTACAATGTATGATAAATTATAAATGTATATAAACTTGTAAGTTCCTAAATTTATAACTAAATGCCTCCACCCAAATACAATATATTGTACAGTTTTTACCATCACTGAACCCGTGAATGCACTTATTGAAACATCCTATTTTAGGTAAACTGTTGTACCTAAAACATAAGTGATAGAAAACATTCATTTTAATCTTACTTATTCAATGAACACAGGTAACCTAAATTCTTATTCACCTCTCCTTACATTTTTTTCTGACTAGAAATGAATACCTGTTCATGTTAGAAAATTTGTAAAGCATAGAAATGCATGGGGAGAAACAAAACTTACTCCAATTTTTAACACGCCATGAAAAAGGTTAAATAAGAAAGTTTCAACACTTTTTTAAGTTTTAAAATACCGATTTATTGGTAACCTTTCCATTGAAGAAGTGGGTTTTCTTGGATCAGCTTTTTTTAAAAAAACCTCTTTGGCCGCTATTACCGACACCTAGCTTCTACCCTGTTAACTCCACCCTAGGCGCAGTCTAGCGCTACCAAGCACCACCTCCCAGGCTTCAGCAACCTGTCCTTTCCCAGACAAGTTAGGCTTTGCTTTTGCCACCCTTGGGCCGCTGAACCTCCGCGCGAGGGCGCCCTCCCCGCCGCCCGCCGCCGCCAGGTGACGCGAGGCGCTGCGAGCATGGCCAGCTCAGCGCATGGCCGGCCCCTCCCGGCCACCAGCCCCGTCACAGGTGGGCCGGACCCCGAGCAGACCTCGCCTTATTAAATTACAGAGCTCAGTAAAAAAAGGACATTCCCACAGTCTGTCCTCACGCCCTATGTAAAATTCCCAGGTTCTGGGAAACCCTTCCGGCCATCCCCACGGGAAACGGAAATGGCTTCTCCCTCACCAGCGCGCGGGATGGTAGTTTCACGCCCTAGAAGCCAAGGGGTCTTTTCTGGGGCTGCCCTTAGCGTCGCCTGCACAAATAACCAACAGGTCTGCGACGAATAGATCCCCAAACTGTGCCTCATGTGTTCTAGTCAGCCTGCTGGCAGGTCCTATGTAAACCCAAGCGGAAAGCAGTGCAAGCCACGAGGCCCTGCCGCCGCGGTCGTCGTCCTTTCCCAGGCCTGGGCTCTAGCCGGCCTTCCCGCCTTCGCCACTCCCCCCTCCCCCGCACCAAGAGCCTGCGTGCAGTCTGGCAACCGCTGGGGCGTCTTCCTTCCTCTCCAAGCAAGATGGCGGGGGGTGAGGCTGGTGTGACTCTGGGGCAACCGCATCTTTCTCGCCAGGATCTCGCCACCTTGGTAAGGTTTCGCTCTGAGAGGATGCGGAGTGAACTCAGGAGTGGGATGACAGGGCCTCCCGGAAGGAGTGGAGCCGAGGCAGTCCTGGGCTGTCGGGAACGTGGTTAGCTCCGGAGCCGAGCGCCGTAAGCCACGCGGCCGGCACCTCGACAAGTCCTCGAGCTCGGCAGCGAGGTGTGAGAGCGTGAGACCTCGGAATAATATTAAATGTCATGAAGATTTTCACTTTTGAAGATCTGGGAATGGAGTGTTTACACTCTTCCCAGCGCTAACGCTGTCAAGGTTGGGTGGCCTCGGGCCTCCACGTCTCCCATAGTGATGGGAAGTGTAGTCTTGAGTAGTGCTGAAGGGACTCTTAGGGCCATCCAGTCATTAGAGTACACGATTGCTTATACAGGAAAAGCACTTTAGAAGTAGAAGAGAGCTGTTCACATGGTGGCGAGCTGTAGGTCAAATGTAAAGTCAAAGAAAAGTTGTGATTTGCCTTATGTACAGCAATTTAAAATAAAATTAAAATGTTTGATTGCAGGATGTTACCAAATTGACGCCACTTTCACACGAAGTTATCAGCAGACAAGCCACAATTAATATAGGTAAGATAAGAATAACTTCTTGGAGACCTGACTTGCTTGATCTCCAGCAAGTAGTTTTAACCTTTCCCTGTGTGTGATTACCTGAATTATATGAGGGTGCAGATAGTCAAGAAATAGACACTGAGCCCTTGTAAGCAAAGCACCTGCTAGATTCTTTTGGGAAGTGCATGTCGCCCATGCCTGGTTTACAGAATAAGTGAGAAGAAAAAATACAGACATATGAGAATTTTAATACCATAAGGTGATATGTAGTCATGTAGCACTTTAAGCAAGACGTAAAAATGTGGCTGTATTCGCCACACAGGGTTATTGCGAGGGCAGAGTTTTTGAAAGTTTTATTTGCTACATAAGCTATTATTAAGTAGAGTATTTTTTTTCTTAATTGACACCTAGAACTTGAGAGGACAAGTTATGTTGACTGAGTGTAAATTTTGGATATTTGAAAGTCTGTATAAATAGCACAGTAAAACCTAGTTAAAAGTAAGGCTCTACCATCAGACCTGTTAAAAAGTTATAAGATGGGCTGGCTGAGTGGCGCGATGGTTAAGCACTGGCTTGGGACGCCAGAGGGCCCCGGTTCGGATCCCACATATGAGGGCCAGTGACACTGCCCTCTACAGCTAAGATGCTGAACAACAGCTCAACCTGGAGCTGGGCTGCCATGAGTCGACGGCGTAGGTTGCAGCCCCTGTGGCAGTGGGTTGCCATGGGCTACCGTGTGTAGCCAGCAGCCAGCGTGAGCGGCCAGCAGCCGCAGTGAGCGGCCGTCCAGAAGCCGGCGACTGATCTTCCTCGCCCAGGAAGAGCGCAATGATGGTGCCAACTTGGGCCAGTGAAGCAACGTCCTCCACAACTAGACTGAAGAACAAAAAGGACAGCAACTTGTCTGTTCCCCTTCCCCCAATTCCCCAGCGCTGTTCCCATCCCCACAATTCCCCAATTAAAAAAAAATTAAAAAAAAAAGTTATATATGTTACCCTTGACAGCATTGCTGTAATTAAAGTTGGGGTTTCTAATTTTCATGTATTCCTTTTGGTTGGGTCAGGGTTCATCGTAACTATTTATTTTATGCTGGAAAATTTCTTAATATACAAGATATTATATATTTCTTTATTGAGTGTTTATATTAAATGAAAGCAGTCTTTTCTGTGATGAAAAACATAAGATGAATAGTTTTTAGTATACTAAATATGATTTTTGAACAAGGTTGTCAGTTACCTGGAAAGTTCTCTTCAGTCTTGTATCAGAATAAGTTTTTGGTAGAAAAGAATATGTAGGAGCAAAAATTGAAGTCACTGTTGGTTTTACGTTGATATTTATAGTGAGTTATGGCTTTGGGTTTTCTATTCTAACATTATTTGAAAAAATATTTGGTGTAATTAGAGTGCACGTGAATTCAATTTTTGTTCTTTGTCTGTAGGTACAATTGGTCATGTAGCTCATGGGAAATCCACAGTTGTAAAAGCTATTTCTGGAGTTCACACTGTCAGGTTCAAAAATGAACTAGAGAGAAATATTACAATCAAGCTTGGATATGCTAATGCTAAGGTGAGCTGTGTACTGTGGACCTAGAAACTAATTTTAATTGGAATATGCAGATAAATCCAAATTTTTTTCATTGAAACCTTTAGATTTATAAACTTGATGACCCAAGTTGTCCTCGGCCAGAATGTTATAGATCCTGTGGAAGCAGTACACCCGATGAGTTTCCTACAGACATTCCAGGGACCAAAGGGAACTTCAAATTAGTCAGGTGAACTCTTTTGTGCTAAAAACACTTTATACTTCATATTTTATTATGTTGTGATTGGTGGTTTTTTAAAATATTTAACTGAAATATTAAACAATGAACCTAATTGCTGAATGGTTTTGTTATTTTTCCATTATTTTGTTTTTATTGCCTATAGTGACAATAATCTGAAAAGTCAAGTATTTAAACCTAAGTTAAGATACTTGCATGCAAGTTCTGGAAAGGAAAAGTATCACATAAGCAGAATGGAATGGAGGGAGACACAGCTCATTGGGTTTAAAGGATTCTTTTTGTCAGGCTTCCTAAATTTATTTTAAACTGTTGTTTCTGTTTCTTAGATAGGGGAGGCACAAAGCCATTCTTAATTACCTTTCTTAAGTAAAGGGGCATATTATCCATTTTCTAAATATAATTGCGTAAGTTGGTTTTTTGTCAGAGTACTGATATCCACTTAGTGATGTTTATAGGGTTTGGGGACGCTTCACGCGGAAATTTTAAATCAGGAGAAGCAGGGCTAGGACTAGGGAGAGATGAATGAGACCCTTGCTTTGGGCCCAGAATTTAAGGGGGTGGGGTGGGGTGCTAAAAAAAAACAACAACCCAGTAGTTAAGTAGTATTGTAGGCAATGTTTTTGGAAATTAAGGCAAAGAAATCATGATAAACAGAATATCATTTGTTTTAATAAAGACAGACTGGAAGTTACTGAGCTTTATTTATTTTTTTCCTCTTCAGTGTCACTTTTTTTTCTGGCTTGTTTTTGGCTTAGCATGACATTGTTACTGATCCTTTTTTCATTTAAAATTTTGATGTTTATCCTGGATTTTTTTTTGTATTAATTTTGGTTTTTAAAAAATATTAAATCTAAATATTTATCTTGATTACTGAGCTTTTTGGCACCTCCTTACATTTTGCGCCCAAGGCAAGTGCCTCACTTGCCTCACCCTAGTTTTGGCCCTGATCAGAGATAAGCAAACTTTTCATAAAGGGCCAGATAGGAAATACCTTTGGCTTTGCAGGCCACAGGTTCTCTCTTCTAGCTACTCAGCTCTGCTCTTGTGTGCTGAAAGCAGACACAGACAGTGTATGCATGAGTTGGTATGGCACTGGGCCAGATTCGGCCTAAGGGCTGTAGTTTGCTGATCTGTTTTAGATCATGACAATGTGAGCATACATGTTTTAAAACTATTTTCAATGAGTAGCATAGTTTTGTTAAAAATAGTGCTGCCTTCTATACTTCAGATAGGCAATTCCAGCTTTTCAAGGTGCTGAGAAATTTTTGGTGAATTATTTTTTCAGATGGCAATGCCTATTCAGTCAACACTGTTTTAGCTCTCAAATCGGTGACATTCCCAATATACACTCTATACCATATTCACTTTCATTGAACCTGGGAGTGTCTGGCTCTTCATTTATTTCTATACATAGCTAATTTCATTTGCTTTATAATGCTGTGCAGTGATTTGACTCAGCCAGTAGGTAATCTTATTTCCAAGGTCTAGAGACAAGTCCTGTAACCACTTGACTTCACAGCAATAAGAATTATTTCCATATTTTTATTCCATATTCATATGTAACATTCATATTCCACATCTAAAGTGATTTAATTTTAGGAAATCTATAAGTTGTATCTTAAAATATTAATTGATCTTAGGACTGATCGTTATTTCTCCATTGGTAGACATGTTTCCTTTGTTGACTGTCCTGGCCACGATATTTTGATGGCCACTATGCTGAACGGTGCGGCAGTGATGGATGCAGCTCTTCTGTTGATAGGTAAATACATCAGAATTGGTTTGGACAAATCAATGTGGAACAAATCCAAGACGGAATGCTTAAAGAGGAACTAAAGCCTTTAAGGGCCATATCCATTCCCTAAGGGTGACACGAATGGAAACTAACATGTCATCCAGGATGACATCCCTGCCTACCAGCTATCAGAAAATATTAAACAGGATAGACCTAGGGCAGATGTCTTGTGAGAATTCTTATTGTAGTTTGTATTTTTAAAAGTAAATACAGCCTTTTTCCTACTTAGATGACATGATTTATTTTAATTTTAAATTTGTGTGTAAAAGTACATGTATTTTTTTGGTCTCTGAGCTGTCCACTGCATTGCTGATGTGTAATGTTTTTATTGAGATGCAAATCTCATTCATAATCAGTACTGAAATCTAGACCTGAATTGGGGTTTTCAAGGCTAGAGTTGTGCTACCTTCCTTATGTGAGCTGTCGAGAGATTTCGTTGCTGTGGGATATAATTTTTTAAAGTATGCCAAGTGGGTATAATATAGGACACCTGGACATCACTGCTTGGGGCGTGCCCGACCAAACATGCCTATTTCTTTATAATACACTGTTGGTTATCTTCACAGTTAGTGTTCTTCCTTCCCTTTGTTAGGGAATAGGCTCTGATAGTAGTTGAAATTCATAGACTGTATTAAGTGTCTTCCCCTCTTGATGACTCTGTCTCTCAGGAGCTTGATGGCCTTGAACATCTAATACTGGATAGAGCCTTATGCCTGAGCAAAAGCTGAGGGCAAGTATAACTATTGCACTGTGTTGTACAGCTGAAACTAATTCTAAAAAATGTATATTTCACAATAAAAAATAAAAGCTGAGGGCAGACCCAAAGATGCCACACTCATTGATTCCAGGCTTCTTGCTTAGGATCGGCAATGGGAACCAAATGATAGGGAGGCCTCAGGGAATGCACGCACAGAGGGAAAGTAGGGACCCAAGGTAGACACTTGGCAGTGATATCCAGGACTTCTGCCTTGAATAGGGCTAGGGCATTCAAACGTTTCCTTTATGAGATGCCAGCTATTTTTTTTTGGTAGTAAAATACACAACAAATTTTGCCATTTTAGCCATTTAAAGTGTACAGTTCAGTGACATTAAGTACATTGACAGTGTTGGACAAGCATCACCACTATCTAGTTCCAGACCATCTTCATTACCCCAAAAGGAAATCCTGTGCCTATAAAGCAGTCACTCTATTCCCCCTTCCCAAGCCCTTGACAACCTTAATCTGCTTTCTGTCTATTACAAATTTGCCTCCTTTGGCAGCTATTTCTAGCTGATTCTCATGCATCTTTTTTAATCTTCACCATCTAGCTGGTAATGAGTCTTGTCCTCAGCCTCAGACTTCTGAACACCTGGCTGCTATAGAAATCATGAAACTGAAGCATATTTTGATTCTACAAAATAAAATTGACTTGGTAAAAGAAAGCCAGGCTAAAGAACAGTATGAGCAGATCCTTGCATTCGTTCAAGGTAAGAAGCCATAATATCTAATACATCTATGAATCACTTTGAGAGGCATTTAACCCAGATGCCAGATGTTATATTAACTGTATAGATTAAAACAGGGTAAACTAACAGATCTTAGGCCTTATTTTTCTTTACCTACTTCTTGTTAGCTACCTGATAGAACTAGTGAAATCTGTGTTTCTGAATTCTATAGACTAAAGTAATATTTTTTGCTGACTGAAAGTTAAAACTGAAGTTGTATTCAGGAAACTATCAAGTTAAAAAACAACAAACAACTTCAGTAATGGTAATGGTAAAGTGAACAAAATAATTTTTTTTTAAAAAACTTAAGTCTTACACTATTCTCACTGAGTAGCTACTTTGGGAACTGGAACTGACAATCATTTATTGAATCTTTACAGCCCCTTCCTCTAACAGCGTAATGTTTTTCATTTCAGGGAAAGCATGATGCATCTTATTGTTGACATTTGATTCTCTCTCAGCCTTGTTTTTCTTGTTAGGCTGACATCTCATGAACCCAATTCTATCATAACAAAAAAGAATAAGTCATATTGATTAAAATCTAATTATGTTTGTTTTACTTCTTTGACCAGCCTGTTTGACATATAATTAATAAGAAGCAAATATTATATGCACAGCCGTCTTTGATTAGCAAATAGCCTGTAATTTTATCTTGACATTTATTGGGAGGTTAATTACATGTTATTAGAAATCTTTCAACTAGTAAAGTGCTCTTTCTCAGGAGTGTTAGTATTTTATTCCTCTAGACAGTTTCATCATTTTAGTATATTAAATATATCTGTTAATATATTTAAACGTTTTTTTCCTTAAAGGGAATAATATTCATTTTCAGGAGTAAAAGCAAACAGAATACTGCCATCTTTCTAAACAGTTATCACTTTCTACCTGTTGCTGGCATTTGTGTGGGGATGTTTAGGCATCTGTTTTAGTAATCTTAACTGTTTCATGTAACATGTAACATTTGTAAAACGGAAGAATTTTGAATTTTCTGAATTTTGTCGTATAGGTACAGTAGCAGAAGGAGCTCCTATTATTCCAATTTCTGCTCAGCTGAAATACAATATTGAGGTTGTCTGTGAGTACATAGTAAAGAAAATTCCAGTACCCCCAAGAGACTTTACTTCAGAACCCCGACTTATTGGTAAGTCATAGGATTTTTCTTTAACTCTTACTTGATCTTTTCCACATTGGTGATTCCCCCTTAAGGGGGTTTATTACTATTTCCTCTTTCTGCAGAGGTGTTAATAAATTATAATCTCCATAACACTTTTTTGGAAATTGATGAATTCTGAGATTGTATTGGCAATGCTACATTGCATTACTTGATGAAGGACAGAGTCCTGAATACAGAAGAAACTTTTAACCTTTTTGTGCTTAGTATATGGTACGTTATGTGCTCAAGATGGAGTTAATACAGTATTCTTTACGGAATTATAATGGTTTAGTGAGAAACAGGGTATTTCAACTTCCATATAAATGATTTCCTTGTACCATTAATGAAGATTTTCATGTCCCTTTCACTTTTATTTAAGTTCATAGTACCAATATTGGTATAATTTGATCATCTGAGCTTGTGGTTCCTACACAGAGATATCGGCGCCTTTTCAGAACAGATATTTGAGGCCCTCTGGGCCTTCACCCAGGGCCCCCCTGTGTGTTGTGGGAAGTGTTCTCTTGGGTGGTTGTGATGTGTACCCCTTGTTAGGTCACTGCTCTCAGGACCTAAGTGCAGGTCACGTAGTCCTAGAGTTGTTTTGTAGTTTTAAAACTAAATTTTTATTTCAGAAGTCACATAATACAGAGGTATATAAAGAGTTACCTCCCACTTCTAGCCTCTTAGCCCTGAAGTAACCAAAGTTCACAATTGTGTATTATTCCCATACCTCTCTTTGTTCATATCATGTGTAAACATATACATGTTCCCTGTTTTAGTTTTACTTTGTGGAAGTGGGATCATATTGTGCATGTGTTTTTGGTAACTAGTTTTTTTTCCTTAACAGTATATGAGGGTTATCCTTCCAGATCGTTACATATAGCTCTAATATTCTTTTTTAATAGCTGCATAATACTCCATAGTATTGATGTACCATAATATGCTGCTATCAATGAAATTTTAAGTTATTTCCACTTTCCTAACATAAGTAAATTAGATTTTTGACACAAAGTCACCCCTGTGGTGTAAATCCTGTGTCTACTATTTCAGGAAAGTTAACTTAGAAAATAATATTTCTTCAAAAGTTAAAATGAACAGAATTGGTGTTAATTTGTTTTGCTTTCTTTTAGTTATTAGGTCCTTTGATGTGAACAAACCTGGTTGTGAAGTTGATGACCTTAAGGGGGGTGTAGCTGGTGGTAGTATTCTAAAAGGAGTGTTAAAGGTAAGCTGGGTTTGGGTTTTTGTGGTTTACTTGTTTTAATTGGGGTTAACATTGGTTAATAACATGATGTAAATTTAAGGTTTCCAACTTTATAATGCAACATTTGTCTTCTCCATTGTGTGCTCACCATCCAAAGTCTAATGGTGGTTGTGTTTTTGTTTTGTTTGTTTTTCTATTGTCTTAATCAGGAAAAGAGTATGGATACTCCAAATTGAAAAATAAATTTTTCTTTATGGTGTGTAGTGCTTGATATGGATGTCTTTATGTACTATTATATGTCTGACGTCTGACTTTATAGGCTCCTCATGAGTCTGGAGCACATTTTATGAGGGGATAGGCTTGTGTGGTAGGTGGTTAGAAACAGCTGAACGGCTGTGGCATTGAAGCTGTCTTTAACATCTCTTTTTTTTTTTAAAGTGATCTTTGAACTAGAGAAAGGATTGCCCTTTCAGTTTTGTGGTCTTACTATTAGTACTTTTTCTATGTAAATGGAAATTGTGTTGTGCCACAGTAATTCTAATGACTAATTTCTATTTTTACAGGTGGGCCAGGAGATAGAAGTCAGACCTGGTATTGTTTCCAAAGATAGCGAAGGAAAACTGATGTGTAAACCAATCTTCTCCAAAATCGTATCACTGTTTGCTGAACATAATGATCTTCAGTATGCTGCTCCAGGAGGTCTTATTGGTAAGGATTTTCCTCTTATCCCTGCGCTTTTCATTTGTGGATATCATAGTACTTTTCATGGGAAATGGATTACCCAAAAAGATAGAGATTTTTAATTGGATATTTTAATAATTGAATTAAGTAGGGAAACATACATGTGGTTAAGCTGTTGATTTTAGGTCATAAGATGGTTTCATGTGTTTGTAAAAAATATTTTTAAGCGTAAAGAAAAATACATTTTACTTTGGTATATAAAGTAGCTCCTTTTTAGCAATAACAAAGCAAGTTTTATGACCTGGTGTTTAAAATACCTTACTATACTTTTTGTTGTCGTTCTACACAGATTTAAGGTAGGGAGTGGTTGATTTTTATGTATGTTTTACAAATGGAATGTTACCCACAAATGTCAATTGAATCATGTCAGAACATATTTACACTGAGGTAGAAATAAAAGAAGATAACTGAGATAATTTATGGATTTTCTGGTCCCTTACACCTTCGTGTATTACCAGATATCCATAAGAAGTCAAGATTCAGAATTAGTCAGAGGTACTGTGCCTTTGGATTAAAGAAGAAAATGTTTGGTGAAGAAGGATTTTGTCTTTAGGTTCTCTGGTGTTTGGCTATATAATTCATTTGTCTACTTTATCCTGTAATTAAGAATTTATATGGTTTTCTTATATATAAACAAGGAAACTGGAAAAGTGTTTTACAATTAAACTATGGAATTTTTCAAACATAAAAGTGGAGAGAATGGTGTAATGGTAATTCTTATGTAGCCAAACTCCCAGCTTAAACAATTATCAATACTCCCCATCTGCTTCATCTTTATATCTTCTTCCCTGTCCTCAAAAGACACACTGCTAAAATATTTGGAAGTGGGTCCCAGGAATCATAAATGGAATCTTTAAGCTATCTCTTTGATCAGCCTTCCACGGGAAAAATGGCAGGCAAATATTCTACAAACTACTCATGAATTTTGTATCTCTTCAACCTTCATTAAGGATATTCAGACTCATTTTTTAATTAGGCTATTATGTCTGTTTGCCCTTTGTTTAGAATTTAAATCAAGAGAGTCTGTTCTCAAATGCCCAACTAACCTGTGAGTTTACAGTTCTTTTTCAGATGAAACAGGTATTTTGTCACACCTTGTAGCTGTTACATGACTATGAAAATATAAGTGTGTATTAAAATGTATAGGTATATGCTGTACTTGTTTGACTAAATTTTAGGGTAAACAGCTTTATGGGGGGAAAAATGTTGGACTCTATATATATGTCTTCTTTTATATCAGGAGTTGGAACAAAAATTGACCCCACTTTGTGCCGGGCTGACAGAATGGTGGGGCAGGTACTTGGTGCAGTTGGAGCTTTACCCGAAATCTTCACAGAATTGGAAATCTCCTATTTCCTGCTTAGACGGCTGCTGGGTGTACGCACTGAAGGAGACAAGAAAGCAGCAAAGGTAAGTGCTTTCTGTAATTCCTGTTTCAGAAAGAGTGAGTGATGTTAAGACCAGTTTTGAGGTTCATTCTTTTATAGTGAACATGGGATTAAGAAAAAAGGAAAGGTGATACATGTGACTTCCTGAAAATTGAGAACTTCTCGGTGGCAGTTAGTTTAAAGTGAAACAAAACAGGGAAAAGTATGTCACGTATGACAATGACATGATGTTCCTATTATATGATTTTTAAAAAAAGTCTTAGTAAGATCAGGTTGGCAGAGATGGAAAATGGCTGGCGTCTGTTGTTGGCAAGGATGTAGGAAAATAAGCAGCCATTTTTGGAAAGCATTTTCTTAATTTTGGGGTTTATTTTTCCCCAATTTATTTCCCTAGGTGCAAAAGTTGTCTAAGAATGAAGTGCTCATGGTGAACATAGGATCCCTGTCGACAGGAGGAAGAGTTAGTGCAGTCAAGGCCGATTTGGGCAAAATTGTTTTGACCAATCCTGTGTGCACAGAAGTGGGAGAAAAAATTGCCCTTAGCCGAAGAGTTGAAAAACACTGGCGGTAAGTTTATTAGCTTTTGTCACTGTCTGATAAAGAAGATACAGTCAGTTTCCTTAAGTTCTTGGTGGTGTACACACACACACACACACTCACACATACTTTTCCTTAAATGCAAACGTTATTGTGGCTTTATTGCAACCATTTATTTGGATGACTTTGAAATCTATTTCTAGCCCTGATTTGTGATACACACCTATGCAAAAACCAATGAATTTGGTTCAGTATTTCCCTTGTCTTTATTAAACTTTTTATTTGGAAATAATTTCAAACTTAACAGGAAAATTACAAGAATTGCACACAGACCTCCTGTATTCCCTTTTCCCAGATATACAATTTGTGTGTGTGTGTGTGTGTGTGTATTTTATATGTATGTGAACTCTTTTTGAACCGTTTGAAGAGTAGGTTGTATATATCATGCCTCTTAATCTTTTCAATACCTTAGTGTATATTTCCTAAAATCAAGGATGGTTTCTTATATAACCACTTAAAGAAGTTTAACATTGATAAAAATACTGAAATCTACAGTCTGTATTCTAGTTTTATCCCTTGTCCAATAATGCCCTCTGTGTCCCTCCAGTCTGGGATCATGCATTGCATTTAGCTTTCATGTCTCTTTGATCTCTAATCTGGAAGTTTGAAATTATTTCCAAATATTTCTTAGCCTTTTATTTGTCTTGAGATTGACAGCTTTGAAGAATATAAACTAGTTTCTTTATAGATTGTTGCTCAACTTGGGTTTATCTGATGTTTCCCAAGATTAGATTCAGGTTTTGTATTCATAGCTGGAATACTTACATAGGTGGTGATGTCTCCTCAGGGCATCACAGCCAGAGGCACATGCTATCTGACTGCTTCTCCTTGAGGTTGATTTTGATGGTGCATTCAAGGTGTCCAGTTTCGCCGCTCTATAGTTAACTCTTTTTTACCTTTGCAACTAATAGCATTCTGGGGGGAGACTCTGAGATGATGGCAGATAGCCTGCTCCTCAATAAATCCCAGCCCCCTGGGTTTAGCATCCAGGGATGATTCTTGTCTGAGTTGAGCTTGACTCTAGTGATTGCAAAATGGTGATCACCCCGCCCCCAACTCCACCACTCCTTCTTCTTTATCAGTGGACATTCTTTCTTCCCCATCATTTACTTACCTAGTTATGATATGGACTCATGGAGTCCTATTTTATTAAATAAGTTTTGATTCATTACTGTTCTTATTATTATGATGCCCAGATTATCCAGGATTTGTCCAGCGGACACCCTTCAGACTGGCTCCTGTGTGTCCTTTTGACATGTCCCCGTCAGTTTTTTTGAAGAGTTCCTTACTTTTTGGCACAAGATGTTCCAGAGTCATCTTGTACCTCCCTTGCTCCCATTTAGAATTGGCCATTTCTCCAAGGAACCCTGGTTCCTTTTAGTGGGAAATGATATTTAGAAATGAAGATCTAGGTGCTAGGTGTGCTCATCACTTTTAAGGTGCAGTTACTTCTGGGCCCTTTGAGTGGATAGAGCTAGGAAACATACAGCCTTTGGCTCCTGACTCTGCTCTTTCCATGGTGAGTTACTGAAACTACCCTTTCTTTTCTATTCCTTGTGACTTCATCATAGCCCATACTACCATCGCTTCACACTTAAAAGGTATTGCAGAAGGTTCTTAGTTTGTCTCTTTGTTACTAAAGAGCTGAGTCAAACATTTTTATCATGCTGTGCTCAATAATTTCTAGTAGCTTCTCACTACTTTCTGATATTTAGGACCTTTTCTGGAAGCCTGCTTCAATGCATTTCTTTTTAATGCATTTTATGTTTCCTCCTGCTTTGTCTCGTATAAACCCTGTCACGATTCCATTTACCATTAGTCCACATAATTATTCAAATCTCCCTTGGCTCTTTGTATTTTTTCATACTACCTACCTCCCTTATTAAGGCTTCCCTGATACTCTGCTACCTGATGGTCTCTCATCACGTGTTGTTCAAAAGATTTAATTATTTCTACTTTAGACAGAGTTAAATTTTTTGTTGTCTAAATTTTAAGTAAATAACCCTGCTTTGTGGTGATTTATGTCCACTTGATTTTACTCTTTTGTATAATTATACTATTTGCCATTATAGAAATACTGATTTGCAGTGTATTTTAAAATAGGCTTAAACCACTTTCAAAACCACTCAACATGGAATGTATTATTCTCAGAATGGTGCATTTCCTAGATTAGAACAGATTTTAAAACAGGTTGTTGTGATTTATTTTTGTCTTTCCACTAATAAGACAGGATTCTATGTAAAATTTTAGACTTGCTTAAAAATTAGCAAGTATGTTAAAATTGTTAAAAGAAATGAGAGCATTTGAATGATCCTTTAGATTTGATCTTTAGATTTATGGTTTGAACCCTTGTTTAGATAGGTTTTGTTCTAGAAGCTACAGTTGGGGTAGCAACCCAGCCTGGTGGTCGTCGATGAGAGCAGACATTGGAAGTATGAACAAAGGTCCCTCTGCTGTTGAGATTAATCTGCCTGTAGACTGTCTAGTCCTTTAGTTCTCTCCTTAATTTCCTTTACCAGCTAAGGTCACACTAACGCCATTATGATGTGTTGAGGTGCTGTGAATGGTTAAAAAAAATGCACTTTTTCAAGAAGAAAAGAAAAGAAAATGAGATTTTTTTTTTTAATCAGACTGAGGTGGTTTTGTATCGCATGATTCCTTAGGTGGATGGGAAGGCTCTTTGGCAGTTCTGAAGGGGTAGGTATATTTTAATAGAATGAAGATGAGCATGTTTATAGTAGCAACATTTTTTTGCTTTCCTGTCCTTTATCTTGGCTGGAGCCCATCTCTCTGGGGCTGAGAATCTAAGAAGATAGTGTGAGCTTTCTTTAAGTAGGAGCAGGTTTTGGAAACACATTCAGATACAGCAGATAGGCAAGTAAAACCAGTTATGTCAAATGATTGTGTGGTAATGATAATAAAATGGACATAAAATTGACAGTTCCTTTTGTTTTCATTTTGCAGTTTAATTGGTTGGGGTCAGATAAGAAGAGGCGTGACAATCAAGCCAACCGTAGATGATGACTGAAGAATTCGTTAAATAATGCATTTGGATAAAGACAGATTTTTCTCTTCACAACCTAGGGATATATTTTCAAAGCAATACAGGAGAATGAATTTCACAGCTCATTACCTTAGTAGTAACAGTTATTTGCATTTTTGGTTGATGAAATTTAACCTCTAGTACTAAAGTAGAGTACAATAAATGTAAAAATTGGCATAATGTTGGATTGAGTCTACATTTTACCAGAAATTAATCATTCCCAAGTAATTTCTAATTTATATGTCAATGCAGGTTTGAAATGAAACTCTTCGCTACAACCAGACTTTGCTGTAGCACACATACCACCAAACTTATTTGAAGTAAACTTTTTCGTATTTTCATGCTTGATCTTTCAGTAGCTCTAGGCTTGAATGGATTGTTATACCAATAAAAACTTGGAAACAAATTTTTGAAGACCAACTTCCTTTTGCCTATCTTATGTTGCTTTATCTTTGCAATTTTGAGTGAAAAATTAAGAGGTTCAAATAAAATTATCCTTTAGAGCATGAGTGCTTGTTGCCATTGACATGCCTTTTTCTGCCCCTCTTCTTTTCCTGTACTGGAACACTGGAAACTAGAGCCAGAAGTTCTCACCTTCTCCCTGTGATTCTCTGCAGTTGTTTCTGCCGTTGGTTTACACCTGAAATCCAACAGCCTTTCCCCTTTGGAAAATACTGTTACACTAAATGATCCTAGATAAGGAACAGATCTCTCCAGGCCATAGGTGGTTTTTTCTTAACTGCTTAATTGACAAGGATATGTAGATTCTAGTATTAGTAATCTTTGGACCTTTAAAGAGGTGGAAGATGAGACAGCAAAGGGTGAGCCCTTTGATTTTTAACTTATTCTCCATGTTCCTGCACTTTTCCTATGCTTTTTTATTTTTACTTATTTCTTTCATAAGATTCTGTGAGAGCAGTGGTTCTCAACTCTCACTGACATTAGAATTGCTGGAGAAGCTTTAAAAAAATGATAGTAGATGCCCCACAGAGATGATGATTTAATTGGCTTGGGGTGGTGCCCAGGCATTGATATTTTTAAAAACTCCCCAGGGTTGAGAAACAAGTTTAGAGTTGAAAAGTAGGTGTATCAGATAACAATCTTCCTGAGCTTTGATAGCTGGCTAATACTCTAGTTTGCTTTTCTTAAATTTGCATTTAGTGTGGAATTTGATGCCATAGTCATAATAGAGTGCTCTTTTGGGCATTGAAGCTGCTGCCTTGTAGAAGTTTAGAAGCTGTAGCTATGAATTGTTAGTAAGTTTTGAGGAAACATTAATGTTACATACTTGATTGACTTTGAAGGGTTGTGTTAACAGCATGTGGAACACATTTAAATAAAGCAAAGTTCTAATCCAAACGTTAATTTTACATTTAACATGTCCCCATGTGTTTTATAAACACCTAGCAGAAATTCTGGAATAAGATAAGACCTAGAGCTTTGTAATAGTTGATTAATTTATTACAATTAATCTCATCAGAACTGAAACCAGAAGTCTTTGTCTTTTTCAAACATCCATATGAATTTCAACAAATTTGCAAAGCACTATGCTTAATGTAGATGGGAATACACAAATAAGAAAACAATGGGGGCCGGCCGAGTGGCTCAGTTGGTTAAGAGCTCGCTCAAGAGTTTGAGCTCTGAGCAACAGCAGTTCGAGTCCAGCCCGAGCTGAGCAGCCA